GAGCCGAGGTCACACGTCTCTCTGGGGCACTCCCCCCTGCCGCTCCTGCCGCTCCCGCCGCAGCTGTGTGGGCGGAGCCTGGCGTGTGGGCGGGGCCTGGCGTGTGGGCGGGGCCTGGCGTGTGGGCGGGGCCTGGCGTGCCGAGGATCTGCTGCAGGCGCCGTTTGGGCTGAAGGGCGCGGAGAGGATTAAACCTGAGACAGAGGAGCAGAGCTGCAGAGCGGAAACTTACGGGACAGGGTCAAGGGTCAAGGGTCAAAGGTCAGGGACAGAGTCAGGGTCAGGGGTCAGGACGCTCGGACTCGGCCAAACTTTGCTCAGAGGCACAAAGTCAGAGACACAGCAGCAAAAACAACAAACACAAACTCACCGCCGAGAGCCGGAGCCGGAGCCAGAGCGGCGGGTGGCGGGGGCAGGGGCAGACATGACAGGTGCCTCTGGGTCACGACCTATTCCCCTGTCGTCACCTGTCGTCACCTGTCGTCCTCAGCAGCTCAGAGAGTCCAGGAGCCTGAAGGAGCAGAAACGACCAGAATTTATCCAACGTGACCAACAGGAGCGCACCTGTCACACGAGAAGCGCACCTGTCACACGAGGAGCGCACCTGTCACACGGAGCGCACCTGTCACACGAGGAGCGCACCTGTCACACGAGGAGCGCACCTGTCACACGAGAAGCGCACCTGTCACACGAGGAGCGCACCTGTCACACGAGGAGCGCACCTGTCACACGAGAAGCGCACCTGTCACACGAGGAGGGAGGAGCTGCTGACGGGTGGGGGGGGGTTGATGGGGGACGGGGGGGGGTGATGCAGCAGCTTTAACCCAGATGCCCTCCCTGTGACGTCACGACCGCGGGCACGTGAGAGCGCACGTGCTCAAACAAAAAACACAGAGACTCCTGCGGCGGGAGGGCATCCGACACACACGGGGGGGGGTCTAAAGTTTCCGCGGCTCTTGTGACGTAGATAAATTAAATCAAGTTTCAGTGAATCTGATCAAAGCTTCGCCGCAGTTTGACGCGCGCGGATCTGACGCGTCAAAACAAACGCCTCTGCCGCCGCCGCCGCTGCCGCTACCGCTGCCGCTGCAAGGTCAAAGCGGCGCAGGCTCCGTCACGCGCGGAGCTAACAGGCTAAAGCTAACCGCGCCACACACGCTCCTGCCCCGCGTGTCCGTGGACCATCTGCCGCTCACCTCCGCCTCTGCCGCTCAGCGCGCGCCTCTGCCGCATCAGGCCGCGGCATGACGCATCACAACAAGCCGCTGGAGTCGCGCTTCCGCTCTGGTCCTCCAGGGCATCCGGTTTAAAGCATCACAACAAACGCGTCTGACGCGCGCACGACGACCCTGCAGCGACACAAACACACGCGGCGCGTCTCACCTGCGCTCCGCGCCGCGAGGCTCCTCCGCATCTCCCGCCGCTCAGGGCGCGCCGTGTCCGCGCTGCGCTGCGGCCGTGACGCGCTGCAGGAGGACGCGCTGGAGGAGAGAAGAAGAAGAAGAAGAGGAGGAGGGTGTGCGTGCGTGCGTGCGTGCGTGACGCAGGCGTGACAGCACGTGCCGCGTGCGGAGCCACGTCAAGGAGGGGTCTGCGTCACGAGCCGCGTGCGCGCCCCGCCGACCCGGAGCCCCGAGTCTCCCCCTGGTGGACACGCGCAGTATCACGCGCACGCCTCCACTGTGACTCTGTGTGACGTCACAACAGGCTCCAGATCTGAATCAGATTTTTCTCCTGAAAATGTTTTACTCCAGAAAAGTTCAAGTGAAACACACAAAGACCAAATATTTACTGAAACTTTTCAACATCTGCAGGTTTGTAAAATTAAAGTTAAAACTTTTCTTATTCAAATAAAAGTTTCATCACAGTTTTGCTTAAACACTGAATCCAGAAGAAGAATTAAAAAAATAAAATAAAATAAAACATGTTTCTGTGCGGCAGCGACTCTGAGACACGTTTGATTTAATCTCACGAGACAAATACAAATACAAATATAAATATAAATATTAAATATAAATATTAAATATAAATATTAAATATAAATATAAATATAAATATTAAATATAAATATAAATACAAAAATATAAATATTAAATATTAAATATAAATATTAAATAATTATATCAGGGACAGATTTGAGTCTGTTTTAAAACCTCAGACGAAGAACAAATCAATAAAACACAAACTCAAACCTTTGTCCTTTTATTAAACACAAAATACAGAGACGATGAAGATGATGATGAGGAGGATGAAGATGATGAGGAGGATGAAGATGATGATGAGGAGGATGAAGATGAGGAGGAGGAGGATGAAGATGAAGATGAGGAGGATGAAGATGAAGATGGAGGGGATGAAGATGAGGAGGAGGATGAAGATGAGGAGGAGGAGGATGAAGATGAGGAGGATGAAGATGATGAGGAGGAGGATGAAGATGATGATGAGGAGGATGAAGATGAGGAGGAGGAGGATGAAGATGATGAGGAGGATGAAGATGAGGAGG